ATGACTCAGAATCATCGCTAATTAGTTGATGCTGACTCCCAGTGACTCCTGTGTGTTAGATTAGAACTGCTATATAAGGTTTTCTTTGCTAAAATCTTTATGCAAGTCGACTGAAGTTGATCACCAGGTTTTTCTTCAATGGTCATGCTGAGTGAGTTTGAACGACTAATCTTAAATTCAGTCGAGCACAAACTGCTAATGCCATCCAGGAACATATTTTATTCTAGGGCTGGATATTTTACTCTTTTTATCATTGATTCTTACCATAATTCTTTATAGGTATGGTACATATTTCACATCAATTTAAATCATAACTTCCATTTGTATAAGGAGAGTAGGGTAGTTGAACTATATCCCAAATATTTTAATTATTCTTATTAAATATGAATGCATAAAATAAAAATCATATATGTGCTTTTGTTCTTTGAAAATTACGTCTATGAATATATTCTTCAAAATAGGCGAGTATTCTTGCTCAGTTTAGCATAAATTTAAATATTTGGGGAGAATTTAATCATAAGAAACAGCTTAAACTATACATACTACATAATAATCAACTTAGTAAACTCAAAACCATTGTCACAAAACAGCTACAATATGCAACACTTCTCTATACATACTTGCGTTCTTGTGGTTTTCTTGCTAAGCTCCAAAATATATAAAGGAATTTCAAATGAAATATCTGTAGTGGATAATATCACTGGTGACGGCAACGCTATGAGAACAAGGAAAATATCGCATATAATAAATTCACAAATAGTTCTTAGTATGCTTTCTAACAAGAAACAGATAAAAAAGGATTCATTTCTATTTTGAAAACCCCAGACAGAATCAACTTTACAGCACCTAACTGGTGGTGTGATGCTGTAGGATAAACGCTGGACCACAAGGTCAGTTTGAACCATCAAGGTCGGTGGTTCAAATTCACTTGCTGCTCCTTGGAAACTATACAGGTTCGCTGTGAGTTGGTATCAACTCCATGGCACTTAACATCAATAACATACTTAATACTAAGCTGAGAAAAAAAAAATGTGTTAAAATAATTTCCACAGTAGATCTTCTCAAAATTATGCCATTTTAATAGTATTTTAATTTTATCAATCCTGAAGAACAGAAGTGAATAGAAATTTGGAAGTAAACATTATGAGAATAAAGGGAAAGCATATACATGGTATATAATATAAAATTTCCTACATAGAACAAGAAACTTCTAGGAGGGAAATGGTTTCTCTATAGAGTATCAGGCATAGGGTTTACTCTAAAAAAGCATGCTGACTTGGAGCAGATATTATTATCTACCAGCGAAACGGATACTGCTTAAAACTTGACTATGAGCTATATGTAATACTTAATGAAAGTTTAAGGGTCTTACAAGTTTACGGGATTATGGTAAGCACTTGAAAAGAAATCAATTTCTACTTTGAAAAAAATAACTTATCTTGCAAGTGCTTTCACTACGACACTGGAATTATGAAGTATGGGGATTCAGTATGAGAGGAAATATAGATGGTTTTCATCATTGTTTAATTTCTGATATCTGTCATGAGACAAATATTAAAAAAGATAATGTCATGGTACATGCACAGAAAAGGACACTTATATGATGGCCTGCCCATTTACATATTGTCAACTGGGAAATAATCAGCTAAAATAAAACTTTGGTGTTTTCTTTTATACCGAGAGCTTTGTTTTGGCATTTTCCTTCACCAATTAGAGAATGTTCTTTCATTTAAGTAAATAATTTAGTCATCCTTAAGACAATATTAGAGAATTATTTTCAAGCTGATAGGAGAAGCATTTTAATCATATAGACATTTCCCATCTTTCTACCTACAGTTGTTGCGTGCTATCAAGTCGGTTCTGACTCATAGGGTTTCCAAAGAGCAGCTGGTGGGTTTGAACCATGGATGTTGCCTTGGTTCAAACAGACCTTGTGGTCCAGTGCTTTACCCTACAGCACCACACTGGGACTATGTACAAAATGGGGCCCTTCCAAACAAAAATGGCATTCTTTGTGAACTGCTTCTGCAAATATCATTCAAAACTAAAATAAATTTTCAATAGAGAGATAAGGATAATTCTAGAAGCTTTATTTGACAGATCCCAGCCACTCCAGGAAGAAATACTATATACACATCAGATTTTACTTGTATCTTTTCAACCATCATTAAACTTCAGTCGTGGTAAGTTCTATGATTTAATTAAGTCTTATTTCGACATCTCAACCTTTTGTGGAAATCCAGTAATATTTGTGAAAATTTAATTAGCTACACTTCGTTTTTTAGTCTGACATGTAAAGGTCTTGGAGGTGGTCATTCCTGTTCTTGTAACACAAGAGAAAAACTAAAGAAACTGAAAATAACTTATCTTAAAGCCATCAGAAATTGTGATCACAGGGAAATCTACTACGCTGGGAAATGGAGAGACAAGCAGGCTGATACAGAGAATAACAGTTTACTGGGAGCAGAAAGTTCATAGCAATATAAAAGGATGTAAGGAATCAGGAATACTTTGTTATAAGACAACTGAACTACCCCATAATGTGGTATGATGAGTTGCAAACATATATTAAAAACTCTATGACAACCATTCAAGGAAAAAAATAATAAAAGTATTGTTGATAGGGTAAGAGAGAAGAGAAAATGGAATCAAATAAATGTTTACTTGCAATCAGGTAAGACAGAAAATAGTGGAAAACAGGAAAAAAAAACACATAAAACAAAGACAATCAATCAAAACTTACATAAATAGTCATTAATATAACTATATCAATAATCACTTTTAAGGTGAATGGTATAATATATCCATTAAAAGACAGAGACTGTTAGCGTAGGTAAAAACAAGAATATATGACGAGGCTTAAAAAAATCCCAGTATCTTTCAATTCCATTTTTCCTCGAACTTTTTGAAGCTCCTCTACAAGAAAATTACTTTAAATGTAAGGACACAGACTAAAAGCAAGGGGATGGAGAAAGATATACTGTGATATCATACCATAAGCAAATGGAAGTAGCTATATTAATTTCAAACAAAACACACTTCAAGGCAAAGAAACGTACCAGGAATCAAGAGGAACATAATCTAATGTTAAAGGGGAAAATTCCCTAAGAAGCTATAACAATCTTTAATGTGTATGTTTCTAACAACAGGATATCAAAATACATGAGACAAATGGATAACTGCCCCAAACACATGACTTTTATAGAATACTTTACCCACCAATATTAGAATACACGTTCTTCCCAAGCTCACATGGACCATTCATCAAGTTAACAGAGCAAAATATAAAAAGAAATTATGCATAGTATACCTTTCACAACAGTCAAAAACTAGGAACATCATAAATGTTCATCAACAAATCAATGGGTAAAACAAAGTGTCGTATATGCCTACAATAGAATATTGTTATCGTTGCTGTTAAGTGCCATGGAGTTAGCTCCTACTCAGTGATCTGTATAGGGTTTCCAAGGAGTGGCAGATGGGTTTGAACCACTGACCTTGCAATTAACAGTTACTCAGACATAAATAGACATGAAGTCTTAATGCATGGATGTACCTTAAAGAAATTACGCTGAGTGGAATAAGTCTGTAGCAAAGACAAACAATGTATATCTCACTTATATGAAATAAATAACTGTATAAAAACCAAAGGTCACCAGAGATGGGAGGGAAGGTGAAGGGAGAAATGTTTGCTTGGAGGGAGCTTAATTTATATTATTGGTATAGGAATAATTTGAAAAAAAGGATAGTGAGAATGCTTGCACAACTTGAAGAATGTAATAAATGTTACTAAATTATACACAGAAATTGTTGAATTGGTATATTATTTGTGTATATTTTATAACAAAATAATATATGGAATAAAAAGGTATAATATTTCAAAATATTTTTTAAATTTTACTTTAAATATTGTCATTCAAGATGACTTTTTTGTTTTCTATAGGAGTCCTGGTGTAGCGTTGTAGGATAAGTACTAGACTGAAAGGCTGGTTTTAATAGAAAGGTTGGCAGTTCAAATTCATCAGCCGCTCCTCAGAAACCCTATACAGGTTTTGAGTCAGTATATGTCAGAACCAACTCAATGGCATCTAACAACACATTTTCTAATAATCTAAAATGCTACTATATTAAATTTAATTGTCAAATAAGAAAATTGTAATTTGTTTTACAGGGAAATAATCTACGTAATTCAGAAAACAAAAGTTATTTCATTTCCCACCAATATAACTTCAAACAAGGGGAATAAAGTTTAACTTCAAACCCAACCACCCCAATGCAATTGACTCTATTCTAACGATATGACAAAGTAGAACTGCTCCTAAGGGTTTTGGAAACTGTAAAGCTTTACAGGAGCAGAAAGTCTAATCTGTCTCCCGATGAGTGGCTTGTTGGTTTGAACTTCCGACCTTGCAGTCCACTATGCCACCAGGACTTAATATTAGTTGTAGATTCCCTAAGTCTGGATTTGACATGATAGTGAAATAAACTTCTGTCTTGTATGTTTTACTTTAATGAGACATTTCTTACTGATTGCAAATGCAATTTTTAATTGATATGAGAAACATCACTAATTTACTATTAAAGACAATGAAACTTAATATCAGAATACAAAAAAAATACAGTATATGCTATACTTTTTGTTTTTCATGAAAAATGATTAAGTACGAATGATTTCTATAAAACAAAATTGAAACAGTTCAGAAATATGAGTTTCATAGTATATCAGTTTTATCTTTGAATGTTTGGAGGAGTAGATAAACCTTCAACATATTATTCTTCTTTTCAAGTACATAGTCCGATAGAATCTGTTATTGATCAAAATTCATCTCAGAGACTTACAATTTAAGTACTACAAAAACAAAGCACATGACAATTTTAAGTCTTAGTATTTCTAAGTTCTGAAAAATAAATGGTATATTTTGATTAAAAAAAAAATTAGCTGCCTTAGTGCAAATCTTTGGCCTATCTCTATCAATATGAGTGTTGTTTCATACACATACCAGTTGCGTGAACATAGCACGGTGAGATAAGTGGTTCTGTCTTTGAAATTGATTGAGAACTTGATGAGTGTACTTTAATGTAATTTTCTGAAGCATCCATGAAATTAACTCGAACGTGAAAGGTGAACTCATATGTTGTCACCTGAGAGACAAAAATAACATCATACCTGTGACTATCTTTGCTGGAAGATATCCCATAAAACAATTTAACAAATCAGGAGTTAAAAGAAAATCTTTTCAAACAGAAAATAGTCTTGTGACAGTGAAATTACTTTTTTTTTCAAAACAAGGTTTGGTTTATGTTTGCTGTTGTTGCTGTTGTTGTTAGGTGCATTCCAGTCAGTTCTGACTCATATTGACCCTGTATAGGGTTTCCGAGGAGCAGCTAGTGAGTTTGAAGTGCTGACCTTGTAGTTCAAATTGATCTTGTGGTCCAGTACTTATCTTACAACGCCAAAATGAATTCTTACATTAATTTATCAAATAATCAAATAATTTGATTAAAATAATTCTTATTGACTCAAAGTAGACCAAAGATCTAAGTATAAAACCTAAAACTATAAAACATGCAGAAGAAAATTTAAGAGAAAATTTTTGTGATCCTGGATTAGACAGAGTACTGTAGGTGAAATTTAAAAAGCACCATTGTGAGGATGGAACAGGACTAGGTACAAGTTTCCTTCTGCTGTGCATAACCAATATTTGGGGATAGAAGTGATAGAACTCTTCTCTACATTGATTTTGGTGTTGATTACACAACTCTATTTTTTGTCAATATTCATACACCAGAAAGAGAAAAGTTTAGTGTCTATAAATTGAAAGATTAAACATAGATAATTCATTAGCTCTGATTTTTAGTGATCCAGCTTAAAAATTAACATAAGAATATAGCCACCTTGTCAGATGAGTCAGTGAAGAATAAACACTTAGAGCTGAAGAAAATCATACAGTGGTAATCTTCTACTTTTCAAACAAAGAATCTGTGGTCCAGTATTGAGGAAATCACAAAACGTTTTCAGCAAAAAGGAGCCAATCTTGATATTTGAGGCCCACATCCAAATAAAGGAAGATAATTGCCAGACACTCTGTAGATTCCCACCATTTGGTGATAATCAAGGTGCTAGAAAAACCTGCTGTCATGAAGTCCATTCTGACTCAGTGACCCTATAGGGCAGGGTATCACTCCCACAATGTCTCTAAGGAGTTCAGGTGTAGCACTGAGGTTTAATGCGCTGGACTGCAAAGTCAGCGGTTGAAGCTCACCAGCCGCTTCTCAGAAACTCTATACAGGGTCGTTATGGGTCGGAATCGACTCTACGGCACTTAACAACAACAACAGTGTTTCTAAGACTAATCTTTTTGGAAACAGGTGGCCACATCCTTCTCCCACAGAACAGCTGGTGGGTTCAAACTGCCAACCTTCAGTTAGCAGCCGAGTGCTTTAACCATTACACTAACAGGGCTCATCATATAGAGCAGTGATTTAGTGTTTGGCTGTTAACCAAAGGTTGGCAGTTTGAACTCATCAGTCACTCCCTAGGAGAAAGATTTGGCAGTCTACTTGCATAAAGATGTACAGCCTTGGAAACCCTATGGGGCAGATCTATTCTGTTCTATTCTGTCATATCGTCAGAATCCTCTTGCCAGCTCAGAGAATCTTTACAGAAGCAGTCTGTCGCATCTTTCTCCCACAGAGCACCTGCTGGGTTTGTACTGCCTACCTTTGAGTCAAGAATTGAGTGCTTAACTAATGTGCTACCAGGGCACCTCAAGGTGCTAGAGATACAAAGATACATAAGCAAAGAAAACACAAAGAATGAATTATATAATGGGTAAAGGTTGCTGTTGTAGTTAGTTGCCATTGAGTTGATTTCAAATCATGGGGATGCCATGTGTACAGAGTAGAACTGTCTCAGTTTCATGGCTGAGACATTTTGTCTTCCAACAAACCTTTTATCTTTTGTTTATCTTTTGACTAATAGTCAAGTGCTTAACTCTTTGTGTCAACTAGAGACTCCTAGGGATAAATAGGAAATTTACTATGAGATTATTCTATTCATTGAAATGAAATGCTTAACTATCCTTTCTCCCTAATAGTCATTCTCCTATGTATCGGATCAATTCGTCTAAGACAGACAGTTCACTTGGAAAATGTAATGGTCTAAACCCTTGCATTCTAACTGTGAATTTCCTTCCTCACACTGAGCTCAGGAATTCAAATTGAAGAAAGGAGAGGTTGCAGGACTTTGAAGTGGCTCCTGTCCCAAATTGCAGCATTGTGTATTATATAGTGGTTACGAATAGGGCTGCTAACCTCAAGGCCAGCAGTTCGAAACTACCAGCTGTTCCGCAGAAGAAAGATGAGGCTTTCTGCTCTCGTAGAGATTTACAGCCTCAGAAACCCCGTGCAGAGTGACTATGAATCGGAACCGACGCCACGGTACTTGACAACATAAGAAATTTTAAATTAAAAAAATAAATATCTATAAAAGAGCTAAAAATGGAGTGGAAATTAAAACAATGCTAAAATATTTCCATAGATACTAGAAAGTTAAGAATCCCTCATGGTTCAACAATTGAACACTAGGCTAGGCTACTGACTAAAAGGGTGGCAGTTTGAACCCGCCTAGCAGCTTCACAAGTGAAAGACCTTGTAATGTGTTCCCATAAAGGCTGCAGCCTAGAGGACCCAATGGGGCAGCTCTACTCTGTCACACGGGGCACACTTTGAGTTGGAATCGATTTGAAGGCATTTAACTTTAGAAAGTCCTTACTGCATTTCATGCTAAACTACTTATTTTTAAAAAAGGAAAGAAACAGTATCAAAACTATGTTTTCTAATGCCCAAATAATTTATTTAAGTATTCAAAAAAATAAATAAAACATTCCATTACTTATTTTAAAAATCATTTTAGGAGTATCAACACTGTAACTTCCTTGGTAAAAGCCTAGAGATGGGGAGAGGAAAATACGGAAGAATGGCAAATGCATCAAACCTGAGAAAAGGAATAATAATAGTATTGCTAGCATACATGAACCTTCAAGATCATGACAACGAGCAGTGATGGTTTCAAAGGCACACACACACTGAGTGCTTTGTGAGGACGGCATAGGAGCAGGCAGTGTTTTGTTCTACTGTATATAGGGTTGCTATGAGTCGATGGCACCTAACAAAAGCATGCTATACTCATAGAGTCCATAATAGCAGTTTGAAAAGTTTCAAAACAAAGTGAAGAGCTGAATCATATAAAGTTATTAGGTTCAACTTTGGTAATGGTGGAGGTTGTGTGCCAGCAAGTTGGTCCCAATTCATAGAAACCCTCTATAGGGTTTCCAAGGAGTGGCTGGTGGGTTTGAACTGTACATCTCACAGTTAGCAGTCTGGTGCTTATTGTACAATATCACACCAGGACTCTAATTTGACTCCAATATTTAAATTTACTCCAATAATTAAAATGCACATACTTTGCTGTACTGATTCCAATTCTAAGCATCCAAGAGCAATAGTAGAACAAATGACCAGAGAAGAATGCTCATGGATGTCCACTACAATTGAATTCCTTAAATAAACATATATTTATTGTGATGTGTATCAAAAGTGATCTAATACTATTAATATAATGGTGAGCTATGTCATCATAGCTCTGGTAGCGTAGTGGTTACGAATCGGGCTGCTAATTTCATGGTCAGCAGATCGAAACCACCAGCTGTTCCGCAGGAGAAAGATGAGGTTTTCTGCTCCCGTAAGATTTACAGCCTCAGAAGCCCTGTACAGGGTCGTTATGAGTCGGAACCAACTCCACAGGCACATAACAACAACAACATGTCATCATACTATTTTCCGGATTTAAAAAATAATACAATTGATGGCACAATGGTATTTGAACAGACAAAAATTCACATCTATTCCTGATAAACACTTAGTAAATTAGAAATAGCATGATATCTCCCAACATGAGTTTAAGACATGGAATTATTTCACAGGAAATCAGGAATAAGAAAACAATGAAATAATTTGACATTGTTCGGGAAATGATAAACAATATAATATAATTTTTGAATGAAAGGGATGTTGTTGTTGTTGTTGTTAAGTGCCATTGAGTCGGGTCCGACCCATAACGACCCTATACAGGGTTTCCGAGGGTGTAAATCTTTACGGGAGTAGAAAGCCTCATCTTTCTCCCGCGGAGCGGCTTGTAGTTTCGAACCGCTGACCTTTAAGGTTCGCAGCCCGATTCGTATCCACTACGCATTTGCCTATTATTAGACTACTACTGGAAAATCTAGAATAAAATGAGGATAAGAAGGATGCATCAAAGTTTAAAATACGATAGTTTCAACTCTTTAACATTGTTGTTGTGGTTAAATGGAGTTGATTCCAACCCATAGCAACCATGTATAGGGCTTCCAAGGAGCAGCTGGTGATCTTGAACCACTGACCTTGCAGTTCAAATTGACTTTTCAGTCTGACACATTATCCTACAGCACCATGCCAGGACTCCAGTTTCAAAATATAATATCCAAATACATAGAATCCAAATATTTACACTGAACCAAACTAAAACCAAGGTTTTTCCCCATTTAACTGTATTTGTTTATTTGTTGTTGCTTTTGTTTTATTTTTGTTCTTTTTAAATCATTAAACAAAAAGAGGACATAAAAATAATCAGTATCACAGCAGATACTGATTATTTATATCTTCACAGAATGTGCTTGGTAATTTCAGTTAGTGATTGCAAGAACATCACGCACACCCTCCTCAAATATAAGTGATTTTTGGGTTAGTTTAACCTTTCCTCTCCTTCACAGTAAGTCAAATCTTGAATTTTCTAGACAGCATAAAAGAGTCCATATGTTCATTTTGTGTGCTCTCTTCACTTCCTGAAGCACCTTACAAGCACGGGCAAGAGACCTGTAGCAATCATTTTAATAAATTAAAGAGTGTGTATTCAGGCACTGGTGTGGCACTGTAGGATAAGCACTGGATTGGTAACCACAAAGTGTACAATTCTAACTCATGAACTGCTTTCACTAAATTCAACCTTTTACAGGACCAACTCAATGGCATACATCAACAACATACACAGGCAAGCTCACAAGTTAGGACAAGATCCACTACAAACAGAATTTAGGGGATGTTTGACAGTTTCTTGTTTGGAATTATCCACAATCCCACTACACTCCAATATTATGAACTTACTTCTTTAGGAGAAAAAGCTAGACCACATTCCAAAGTTGTCTTTTGCTCTAGCTCCCAAGAATATATGTCGGGAACTCCAGAGTCTTCAACTTCTGCTGAAAGAAAGAAAGAAAGAAAGAAAGAAAGAGAGAGAAAGAGAGAGAGAGAGAGAGAGAGAGAGAGAGAGAGAAAGTAACAACATGTAAGCATTACTGATTATCTGCACAGAACTTTAAAAGGTTATTAGATAAAGCATATCTCTTAATAGCAAGATATTAACCAGTAAAACTGATATCCAAATCTGGAATAAACATATATCAGCAAAACTGGAAAGGTCAACCATAAGCCAAAACTCAAAAGTTCAAGAAGATTTTCTCAGTCATACTGAATGTTAGGTCAATGACTTAATGTTAGGTCCAAACACAATTGGAAGACTCTCACTCCAATGAAGATTGAAACTCAAGGGGTCTGCAAAGAAAACAATAACAATTTTATATATGAGGTAATTTATAAACAAAATGAATCATTCCACAAACAGTGTCATTTGGTAAGGATACAGAAGCAATTGTCCTACATTAATGCAAACTTCAGGGTCAAAAACTATAACCAATTGTTGTTGTTGTTGTTGTTAGGTGCCCTCAAGTTGGTGCTGACTCATAGCAACCCTATGCACAACAGATCGAAACACTGGCCGATCCTGAGCCAACCTCACAATTGTTGCCACGCTTGAGCCCATTGATGATGCCACTTAGCCAGTCCATCTCACTGGGGGTCTTCTTCTATTTCTCTGAACCTCTACCTTGCCAAACATGATATCCTTCTCCAGGGATTGGTCCCTCCTGACAATATGTCTGAAGTATGAGAGACGAAGTTTGGCCATCTTGGCCTCCAAGGAGCACTCTGGCTGCACTTCTTCCAACATGGATTTTTTGTTTTTTTTGTCGGCCCTTGCACTTTCAATATTCTCCTTCAACACCATAACTCAAAAGCATCAATTCTTCTATGGTCTTCCTAATTTACTGTCCAACTTTCATATGCATATGAGGTTATTGAAAATACCATGGCTTGGGTTAAGCATACCGTAGTCCTCAAGCTGACACCTTTGCTCTTCAACACTTTAAAAAGTTCTTGTGCAGCAGATTTGCCTAATGCAATGAATCATTTGATCTCTTGACTGCTGCTTCCAAGACTGTTGATAGTTGATCCAAGAAGAATCAAGTTCTTGACAACTTCAATCTTTTCTCCATTGATAAGAATGTTGTTTATTGGTCCAGTGGTGAAGATTTTTGTTTTCTTTACATTGAGATGCAATCCATACTGAAGGCTGTGCTCTTTGATTTTCATCAGTAAGTATTTTAAGTCCTCTTCACTTTCAGCAAGCAAGATTGTATCATCTGCCTATTGCAGGTTGTTAGTGAGTCTGCCTCCTCCAATCCTGATGCCATGTTTTTCTTCATAGAACCCAGCTTCTCAGATTAGTTGCTCAGCATACAGGTTGAATAAGTATGGTGAAAGAATACAACCCTGTCGCACACTTTTCTTAATTTTAAACCATTCAGTGTCCCCATGTTCTGCTTGAACAACTGCCTTTTTGTCCATGTACAGATTCCTCATGAGCACAATTAAGTGTTCAAGAATACTCATACTTTGAAGTGTTGTCCATAACTTGTTATGATCCATACAATCGAAAGCCTCTGCGTAGTCAATAAAGTACAGGTAAACATCTTTCTGGAATTCCCTGCTTTCAGCCAAGATCCATCGGACATCAGTAATGATATCCCTTGTTCCACGTCCTCTTCTGAATCCAGCTTGAACCTCTGGAAGTTCTCTGTCAATATATGCTTGCAGCCATTTCTGTATTACCTTTAGTAAAACTTTACTTGCATAGGCTATCAGAGATATTGTCTGATGATTTCCGCACTCCATTGGGTCACCTCTTTTTGGAATGGGCACAAATATACATCTCTTCCAATCAGTTGGACAGATAGTTGTCTTCCAAATTTCTTGGCATAGATGAGTGAGTGCCTCCAGTGCTGCCTCACTTCCTTGAAAATTTTCAATTTTTATTCCATTAATTCCTGGTGCCTTGTTCTTTGCTAATTCTTTCAATGCACCTTGGACTTCCTGCTTCAGTATTATTGGCTTTTGATCATATGCTACCTCTTGAAATGGCTGAACATCAACCATTTCCTTTGGTACAGTGGCTTCAATCTTCTTTTTTTATTTTACATTTTACTGTATATATTCTTTATTTATTTATTTATTTATTTTGTACTTTCTATTCTTTTCTTTTCTTTTTAAGTTTTTATTGTGAATTGAGTGAAAGTTTACAGGGCAGATCATCAGTTTTATATTAAACAAATTATACATCTTGTTTCCTTACAATGATTAAAATCCCCTCCATGTACCATTCAATAACAGTAGTTCTCTTTCTTCACTTTAGCTCTTTTTTGCTTTTTTTAAACACTCAGGCATATATACCAATTTATACCACCAAAGGGCACCTTCTGCAAGTCTGCCTCCTGGCTGCCAGTTCTCAGTCCTTCTCTTCTCATGAATCTAGAGTCCTCAGCTGCTCCCTCTCTCCATGTCCCCATCTCCACCTCCCCTTCCATCTTCTCTTGATGCTTTCTGCATCATTCAATAATTTGCCCAGAGAATCCTTCAATATAAAAAGTCGAGGCTTGAATATTTTTCTTCAGTTTCCCCAGCTTGAGAAATGCTGAGCATGTTTTTCCCTTTTGGTTTTCTGACTCCAGATCTTTGCACACTTTGTTGTAATATTTGACTTTGTCTTATCGAGCTGACCTTTGAATTTTCTGTTCAGCTCTCGTACTTCCTCATTTCTTCTGTTTGCTTTAGCATCTCTACGCTGGAGAGTAAGTTTCAATGTCTCTTCTGACATCCATTTTGATTTTTGCTTTCTTCCTGTATGTTGTTCCTAACGTCATCCCACAACTCTTCTGGTCTTGGGTCTTTCGTGTTTAATGTATCAAATGTGTTCTTCAGATGATTTCTAAATTCAGGTGGGATATACTCAAGGTCATAAGGAGCTCTGGTAGCATAGTGGTTATGAATCAGTGATTATGAACCTCAAGGTCAACAGTTTGAAACTACCAGCTGTTCCGCAGGCCCTGTAAAGATTTACAGCCTCGGAAATCCTGTACAGGGTCGCTATGAGTCAGAACTTACTCCACAGCACATAACAACAACAACAACAATATTTAAGGTCATATTTTGGCTCTCATGAACTTGTTTTCAGTTACTTCAGCTTCAGTCTGAATTTGCATATGAGTAATTGATGGTCTGTTACACAGTTTGCCCCTGTTCTTGTTTTGGCTTTTCCATCGTCTCTTTCCACAGATGTAGTCAATTTGATTTCTGTGTATTCCATCTTGTGAGGTCCATGTGCGTAATCATCTCTTATGCTATCTAAAGAAGGTATTTGAAATGAACAAATCACTGGTTTTGCAGAATTCTATCATGCGATCTCCAGCATCATTTTTATCACCAAGGCCATATTTTCCAACACAGATCTTTCCTCTTTGTTTCCAACCTTTGCATTCCAATCACCAATAATGATTAATACATCTTGATTGCATGTTTGATCAATTTCATATTGAAGAAGTGGGTAGAATTCTTCTATTTCATCCTCACTTGCTTTAGTGGTTGGTGTGTAAATTGAATAATAGTGGTCTTCCCTGTAGGTGCATGGATATTATCCTATCACAGGCAGTGTTGTACTTCATGACTGATCTTGATATGTTCTTTTTGACGATGAATGCAACACCATTCCTCTTCAATTTGTTATTCCTGGCATAGTATATCATGTGGTTTCAGATTTAAAATGGCCACTACCAGTCCATTTCAACTTACTATTTATTGCCTAATATATCGATGTTTTTGTGTTCCATTTCATTTTTGACAATTTCCAATTTTCCTAGAGTCATACTTCGTACATTCCATGTTCTGATTATTAATGGATGTTTACAGCTGTTTTCCTTTTGAGTTGTGCCCCATCAACAAATGAAGGTCCCAAGGACTTTACTCCCCCGGGCTTTACTCCATTCGTGTCATCATGCATTTTGAGTGCCTTCCAACCTGAAAGGCTCATTTTCTGGCACTATATCTGACAGTGTTTCTCTGTTATTCATAAGGTTTTCAGTGACTAAATATTTGGAAGTAGTTCATTTCTCCTTCTTCCTAATCTGTCTTTGTCTGGAAGCTCATCTGAAACCTGTCCACTGTGGTTGGCTCTGCTGGTATTTAAAATACCCCTGGCATAGCTTCTAGAATCACAGCAACTCACAAGCCACCACTGTAAGATAAACTGACAGATGTGTTATGGAACCAATTATATAAACTGCTAAAAGGAACTCCTAAAAGATGGAACTTTTTTTGCAGTCCAATCTTTGTTCTCATCTACATAATTCTGAAAATTATATTTTCTCCCTAAAACATTTTCCTTATCCATGTAATATTTTCCTTTGCTCCTGTCTGGAAATGAACTTCAATAACTCAGACCACCCTCCTTTAATCCACTTAATTGTATTCACCCTTGGTATGCTAAAACTATTAAACCACAACAACAAGAACTGTTAAATATGTATCTCTGAAAGTATTATTTGTAATGCAGAAAAAATACCCATATTATAAAGCAAAGAATACTCACCTAGAATGGAAACATAATGAGAGTTTATAGAAAATATAATGAAAATGGATGCATAAATAAAACAATGAAATATATTCATAAGTATATTTGGAGTATATGTGAACTTATGGAGTCCTGGTGTGGCGCTGCATGATAATTCATTGGACTGCAATGTTGGTTTGAATAGCAAGGCTGATAGTTCAAACTCACCAGTCATTCTTTGGAAACCCTATACAGAGTGGCTAAGAGTTGGAACTGACTCAATGGTACTTAACAACAACAACAACATGAACTTGTAATTTATATAATCTAAAAATCCAAGCTACTTTTAATAAATATTTCTTGAGTGATTATAGAAAAACAATATTTGTAAGTGTGGTCCTTGCCCTCATGGAGCACCTACATGCATAGAAATTCATTTAATACAGGCAGAATTTGTGGTGTGGTGCTGTGGGTTAATGCACC